GATACAAATGCACACACATATATATTTTTTGAGATAGGGCCTTGCTCTGTTGCCCAGGCTGGAGTACAGTAGCACAATCATGGCTCACTGCAGCAATGACCTATTGGGCTAAAGTGATCCTCCCACCTCAGCCTCCCAAGCATCTGGGACCACAGGTGCATGACACCACACTAGGCTAATTTTTTATTTTTTTTGTAAAGACAGGGTATCACTACGTTGCCAAGGCTGGCCTCCAACTCCTGGGCTCATGCAATCCTCCCACCTCAGCCTCCCAAAGTGCTGGGATTAAAGGCATCAGCCACCGCACCTGATCTCCTTTTATTCTAGAAGGTGGAGTTATCAAGTCCACCTTCTGGCTGAGGAACTACACACCCAAGCATCTCTAACTTTCTGTTAGTTAAGGGAGCACTGTTACCCTGATAGATTTTGTTGGGGAGAGAAGCAACAAATGTTATTGGTTATTCAAGTTTGCCGTGATTCAGCATGGTCATTTATAATTCAGGGAAGTCTGGCCACCCTGGTTTCATCTTAAAGCAAAGCTTGGCTTGTCCTAGCAACCCCACATGTTGTAAGGCTATGTACATTCTCAGTGCTCCCCCGCATTCCAACACGCTGGAAAAATGGTCAAGAAAGCCTGTCAGCAGTGTGAGCACTGGGGCTTTCATCTAGTCCTGTGGAAGTGGTGCGGTCAAAACTTCACTGCTGTGTTCCCAACATCCAGCAAAGTGCCTGGCATGAAATAGGCATTTAAACATAAACGTTATTGAGCAGATCACAATGTGTTTTTAAACAGATCCCTTTCTTGCTCTCTCTCTCTCTCTCTCTCTGATCCAGGATCCCCAACAAGACTAATGTGCCTTTTTTAGTTTGTTTTTCATGACATTGACTTTTATGAAGAGTCTGGGCTAGTTGTAGAATGTCTTAAATTCCGGATTTGTTCCAGAGTGATTTTTAAAAAATATAAATCAGGCAGGCATGGTGGCTCTTTGGGAGAGAACTTTGGAAGTCCGAGGCAGGTGGATCACCTGAGGTCAGAAATTCAAGACCAGACTGACCAACATGGTGAAACCTTGTCTACTAAAAATACAAAATTAGCCAGGCGTGGGGGCACATGCCTGTAGTCCCAGCTTCCCGGATGGCTGAGGCAGGAGGATTGCTTGAACCTGGGAGGTGGAGGCTGCAGTTAGCTGAGATTGCACCACTGCACTCCAGCCTGGGCAACAAAAGCAAAACTCCATCTCAAAAAAAAAATATATATATATATAATATTATATATATAAATATAATATAAAATATTATATATAAATATTATATATAATATAAAATGTTATATATAAATATTATATATAACATTGTATCTGAATATATATTATAAAATATATATAAAATATTGTAATATCAGAATATAATATTATATATATATTTATATATATAAATGTATATATATTTTTTTGAGACGGGGTTTTACTCTTGTATATATATATTAAGTAATTCCCATGTTTAAAGCCTTCCACTGGCTTCCTAAAATATTTAGAAAATAAAGGCCAGACTCACTACCCTGGCTTACAAAGGCCTATACTACCTTTTGTATGTTTTCTTCTTTCTCACTTCAGCCACAGTGGCCTTCCTCCAGTTTCTCAAATCCACAAAGCTCTCAAATCCTGCAAGATTCTTGCAGGACCTTGCACTGGCTGTTGCCTTTGCCTAATGTGCTTGTTTGAATGCTGGCTCCATCTCATAATTCAAATCTCAGCATGAATGCCATTTTCTCAGAGAGGCCTTCCTTACCTTGGCCCCCAATCTAAAGCAGTCACTTATTCACTCTCACATCACCCTTCTTTTAACTCTCTGCATGGTACCTATTATAACCTGATATTTTTCTTTTTCTTTTTTTGAATCAGTGTCTGAATCTGCCACCTAGGCTAGAGTGCAGTGGCTGGATCATAGCTCACTGGAGCCTTGAACTCTTGGGCCTCGACTTCAGCCTCCTGAGTAGCTGAAACTAAAGGTGTGAGCCACCATACCAGGCTAATAAAAAAAAAAAAATTACTTTTGTAGATACAGGGTCTTGCTATGTTGCCCAGGCTGGTCTCAAACTCCTGGCCTCAAAGAGTCCTCCCACCTCAGCTTCCCAAAGTGCTGGAATTACAGGTGTGAGCACACCCACACCTGTAATTATAAATAATAATTACAAAAAATTATAAATAATAATTTTTCTTATTATTTATTTTTCTTGAGCTCCAAGAGATCAGGAGATGTGTTCTGTTGTGCTCACTACCATATTCCCTGTACCTAGAACAGCTCCTGACACACAGCAGAAACTTAATACAAACTTGCTGATACTGTAATGAATAAGCGGAAAGCTGAGGATGAAAAGAAGCCAACCATTTAAAGAGCTTGGGGGAAAATCTAGGCAGGGAAGAGGTCCTGAGAGAATCTTGAGGCTTAGTCTGTTCTAGGGCACCAAAAATGCCCTGTGTACTTGGAGAAAAGTAAGGCAGCAGGAGGAAGAAATTGAGAAGAGAGAAATTGGCAGGGGCAAGATGGCTGAAGGCCTTTTTCCCCCATAAGGAGTTTGGATTTTATTTTAAATTAAATGGGAAATCACTAAAGGCTTTCAAGTAGGAGAGTGACCTAATCTGACTTACAACATTCAAAAAATATTTTTCAATTTGAGTGATTAGGAAGATGGAAGTAACTAATATCAGATATAGAAATCACATATGTAAGAGAAGATTTGCAGAGGGAAAATAATTTTGAACATGCTGAATGTAATGTACTTTGGACTGGGCAGGGGGGCTCATGCCTGTAATCTCAGCACTTTGGGAGGCTGAGGCAAGAGGATCCTTTGAACCCAGGAGTTGGAGACCAGCCTGAGCAACGTAGTAAGACCATGTGTCTACTGAAGAAGAAAATTTCCTAGACATGGTGTCAAGCCCCTGTGGTCCCAGCTACTGGGCTACTCGGGGGTAGGAGTGGGGTGAGGTAGAAAAATTACTTGGCCCTGGGAGGTTGAAGCTGCTGTGAGCTGCGATCTCCAGCTTGGGTGACAGAGGGAGATCCTGTCTCTCTCTATATAAAACTTCCTTTGTGGCTTTTGTAGTATCCATACTTTAAAAGAGTTCATGATTAAGAAGGAATTAATACCTACCTCTGAAAAAGTACAGCCAACCAATTCGGTTGCTATTTATAAGAACCTGATACTAAGGTGGTTGTTGATAATAATGATAATAGGTATCAAGTATAGAGCAGTTTCTATGTGTCAGGCCCTATGTCAACCAGTTAACAACCTTACCTCACTGAGGCATCATAGCAACCCTTATTAGAAGAGGCTTTATTATATTTTACAGTTGGGGAAACTAAGGCTAAAGAGGATTAACTCATTCATGGTCGATCAGACAGTAAGTAGCAGAGTTGGAGTTCAAACCCAGGTCTAGTTTGATGACAAAGCTTTGCTCCAGAGAGACTCTGGTCTTGGTATCTGGGTTTTTGTTGTTGTTTGTTGTTGCTGTTGTTGTTGTTATTTGAGACTGAGTCTCACTCTGCCACTCAGGCTGGAGAGCAGTGGCGCGATCTCGGCTCACTGCAACCTCCGCCTCCCAGTTCAAGCGATTCTCCTGCCTCAGCCTCCCGAGTAGCTGGGATTACAGGCACCCGCCACCACACCCGGCTAATTTTTGTATTTTTAGTAGAGATGAGGTTTGCCATATCGGTCAGGCTGGTCTCCAATTCCTGGACTCAGGTGATTCGCCCACCTTAGCCTCCCAAAGTGCTGGGATTACAGGCATGAGCCACTGCGCCAGGCTAATTTTTGTGTTTTTGGTAGAGACGGGGTTTCACCATGTTGGCCAGGCTGGTCTCAGACTCCTGGACTCAGGTGATCCGCTCGCCTCCGCCTCCCCAAGTGCTGGGATTACCTGCGTGAGCCACAGCGCGTGGCTGGTATTTTGTGAAGAATCAACTACAAGGTGACACAATTTTGGGGTCACCTTGATATGGAGGAGAGGGGAATGGAAATAAAACTTATTCTTCCTAGTGTCTTTTTTAGAATGTGGGTACTGAAACTGAGTAAAACTGCCACCCAATTTTCCTGGAAACCAGCGATTCTGCAGTTGACAGAAGTTTGCTTTTCCAACAGCTAGAAACGCCAGGGTTGTGGCACAGCCTCAAAAACTGAGGCTGCCTTGTTCAGACTTTCACATGGTCCCTCTGTTCCTTCCACAGAGGACTCTTTTTCTTCTACATCCCGCATCTGCCGCTTTGGACACTCCTTCTCTAGGGCGGCACCAAGCCTTCCAGAAAGGCGGCTCTGGTTTTGCGCTCCATTTTTAAAGGGGTATAGGCCAGTCCCTACCTGAACTCTGGATGACATATATATATATATGTGTGTGTGTGTGTGTGT